GCAGGAAGGCAGGCAGTGGCTCGACTGGCGGTCACTTCTGCCCTCTGGAGCCCCTTTGGGCTCGACGCTTCGCGGCCGCCGCTCGGCTTGTGCAGCGCCTCCCGCAGGGACCGCGCCACCACCCGTGCAGCCGCCGCCGCCGGCGACCGGGAACGAGGAATGAAGACAACACAGAGGGCAGAAGTGACCGCCAGTCGAGCCACTGCCTGCCTTCCTGCCTGACGGGCGGGCAGCGAGCGGGAGGAGGGAGGGGCTGGCGTCGAGGGGCGCTGGGGCGGAGTCAAGGGCGTGCTCACTGATTGGCTCCTCGCGACGCTGGGGCGGAGTCTCGAGAGCCGGCGGAAGCAGCGAGCACAGGCAGGAGCACTGCGGCTGCGGGGGAGGCCTGTCACGTGCGTTTGGAGAACCCGGCGCTAGGGGGCTCTTGAAAGCCAAGTTGGAACCTGGGCATAACGACCCCATAGAGTGTCCCTCTGTGCCCGGTCCAGAACGAACTCCCGGAACCAGGAACTTGGTGAGACCAGAGAACTCATCATACACCAGGCACTGGACCCCTAAGACTGGCCTCTGGGAATCTGTGACCCACCAGTCTCTGATGAACTTAGACTACCAAACTGAGACAGAAACCATGACCCAGACCCAGAAAGATATTTTCACACATAGAAGTGTGAGACAGAAGTGGAAACCAAAACACAAGGCATTGAATCCCTTAATTAGAGGTTTGTTCAAAGAAGATTTGCTGCATACTTAAGAGTGTTGGAGCCAGCCACCCTTCTAGAGAGAAGAGATAGACAAAATGCAATACTTAACTGCAAGTGCTGTTTAGAGGGTTGTGGGTGGGGACACTGGAAAAAGACTTTCAAATTCAGGGACTGAGACCCCGGTGTTGTGTAACAGTTTCCTGAGATTGAAACATTTTATCCTGAGGTTCTCCTTAAACAGGAAGGTAAACAACAAAGGAACTATGGGAAGTCCTTGAAACTGACCAGATTCACCAGGCTACTTTTTGCAAGAGTAAGCAATAAAACCTGAAAGTCCCCCTCAGATGAACTCAGGGGAGCTGCAAAGAAGACTTGCAGCCAAAGTGTCTGAGAAGCAGAAACCCAGCGCCCCCTGCCCGGAAGAGGTTTAGACCAACTTAAATAGCTGGAAGGACACGCTTCAACTTTGGTGGTAACCGTACTTAGATGCGTGTTGTGTCTCCCCAGGAATCCTTTTGTCACACACCAGTTTGGTACAGAAGAGCAGAAACGTAGAAATACAGCACGTTTAGAATTGCTGAAACATCTGAACAAGATTTAGGGAAAAAAACCTGATGTCGTGGGTCAGAACCAGTCACAAACACCAATAAACTGAAGAATAAAATTGGAATCTTAAAGTAGGTGGGTGCCAAGGAAAGCAATGGTAAGATAGCATCACAGTTTGCGTCCCTGGAAGCAGACCCCTCTGTGGCCAACAGTGCGATCTAACCCAGAGACACCAACTCTGCCCTTTTAGACATCAATAAGGATCAACTGGGCCCAAAGACAAAAAAGTAAATCTTTCAAAATGAAGGGAGGAACTGGGGGTGTCCCTGGGTGGTAGAGTGCATGCTTATCCTATGGCAGGCCTTGGATTCATTTCGCGACACTAAAGGAACAACATCCTGAAGGGGAAAAAACAAAGCTCTAAGAGTTAAAATTAGTCCTTCAAAATGTATTGGGCCACTCAGCAGAATCCTTTTTAAGAAGACAATACCATGGCTCTATTTTTTTTATTTTTTATTTATTTTTAAAGATTTATTTATTTATTATGTATACAACATTCTGCCTCCATGTATGCCCTCATGCCAGAAGAGGCACCAGATCTCATTACAGATGGTTGTGAGCCACCATGTGGGTTGCTGGGAATTGAACTCAGGACCTCTGGAAGAGCAGTCAGTGCTCTTAACCACTGAGCCATCTCTCCAGCCCTCATGGCTCTATTAAGATGTATTTTTTTTAAAGATCAGGATCAATGGATAGTACCAGGAAATTAAACCCACATTCACCAACACAAAAGTAGCAGTTGAAACAGTAAAACAGATCTGAAGACATAGCATGTCGGCAGTGTAAACGGTGGACGTGAGAAGAGTTTACAAAGTCATGGAGTTCCTTAAGAAAGAAAATGATCAGGGATAGTGCTGTATGCTTTTAATCACAGCATTTCCCTGCCGGGGCTACATACATAGTAAGACCTTGTCTTTAAAGAGAGACAAAATAATTGAGATAATTGTACGGGTTCAAACGATACAGATTCCAAGAAGAAAACTGAAGGAATCGATTAGAAGTAGTAGTCTAAGAGGAAGAAGGTTTTCCTCAGTGGAAAAGGAGAAAATTCAGTGGGTTTGCTAACTTCCAGAAAATTAATAAGCAGGAGCCAACCTCTTCTATTGCTGTGTCAGAATGCTCTGACAAAAGCAACGTATGGGAGGCAGGGTCTATTTTGACTCCCCGTTTGAGAAAACGTGGCTAAAAGTCCTGGTGGCAGGTGCCAGAGGCAGCTGTTCACATTGCAGAAGCAGGAGGCAGAAAGCAGAGAATGGTGTTAATACTCAGCTCCCCTGCCCCCACTTTTAAATATAGTCTTGGACTTCAGCTCTGAGAAAGGTGCTCCATAGTTAAGGTGGGTCTTCCACCTTCCATTAACATGAACTAAATGATCTCTCACAGGCATGCCCAAATCCCGTCTCCTAGAAGATTCTAACAGATAGACAGTATTGACCATCATACAACTTTAAGAGGAAATCTGGGTAAGTGCACACATTTCAAAATGACATATATATCTCTATTCTATGTGTATAACTGTTTGGCCTGGCGTGGGTAGAGGTCAGAAGAGGGTGTTGGATCCTGGAGTTCCAAACGGTTGGGAGCAGCCATGTGGATGCTGAGAACTGAACCTGGGTCCTCTGCAAGAGCAGCCAGTGTCCTTAACTGCTGAGCCATCTATCTAGCAGCCAAAAGTTGATACATTTCAGGGATAAAGAACACACTAGTAGCATCCTATCAGAGGATAAAGTTACTTACTTGAAAAGCTAGAAACTAGCTCCAGAGTGATGATAGATACCCATAATCCTGCATGTGGAGGCCAAGGATCGTAAGTGTAAGATCATTCTTGGCTACAACACAAGTTGGAGGTCAGTCTGAGCTACAGGAGACCCAATTTAAAAAAAAAAAATCAGATACCTAAATACTGACCTTCAGATATCTTCTCTGTAATAATTATTATAATAATTAAATGCTAAAGGAAAATGAAGCAAAACTGGCAGCTATTGGAAGGGCTCAATGTGATTCTCCTTGGATCATTTCATTCACTCTGAAGTCTTGGTTGCTCTGAGTAACTTAATTTTGCCTTTGTACTGACTTACTGGGTGGGCAGCGCATGTCGCAAACAGCATGTCTATGGAAGTCGGTGACAACTTGTAGGAGTTCTCTCCTTCTACCATGTGATTCTGGGAACCAAACTCAAGTCATCAGGTTTTGTGGCAAGCACCTTTATTTTCTGAGCCATCTCACTGGCCCAAGAATAACTCTTCTTGAGCTCCAGGTCAGTATATCTACTACACACGAGACAGTGCCATGTGACCTCCCACATTTACGTGAACTCTACATAGCCAAACTACCAGAAGTTAATTGATAAAAGCTTAGCTTCTATTTCCCCAGACTTAGAGGGGTTTGCAGTAATATCCACCTCATATATGCATTCCACAGAGTAAATAAGATAACATACAAAGAACCCAGCACAAAATACTATGTACCCAATAAAGGTTATCTGTTACTGTTATCTACCCCACCCAGCCCTGTTCCTCATCTTGTATCTAGTGGACAGTGATACCTTTACATAGATACAAACTGTAAATAAGGCTGTAATTGTAATACCTGGCCGTGTAGCTTTGTGGTAGAATATTTATCCAATATGTATTTTGCCCCATCCCTGAATGAAACACCACCTACCCAATCACAAATTCCCATGAAGTTTAATGTATATGAATCTATTTAAGATTTCTTTTGGTAACTTTTTATGTGTAAGGTGTGTCCATATGTGTGTGCATGTATGCGTGTGTGAGTGTACTTACGTGTACACGTCCAGGTGGAGGCCAGAAGTTGACCTTGGGTGTTTTCCTCCATCACTCTCCACTTTAGGGTTTTTTTTTATTATTTATTTTTTGAGACAGCATTGCCCACTGAAACTAGAATTCTTATTTCTGCTAGACTGGCTAGCCTTTCAGCCCTCTGCCCAACACTGGGGGTACACATGCATACTGCTAGACCAGGCTTGTATGTGGGTGCTGGGGATCTGAACTCAGTTTATCATGCTTTTGTAGCAAGCACCCTACGTTCTGAGCTCTCTCCCTAGTCCTAATACCTCTTTAATATATTTTTGCTACTCGAAAGTATGGTCCCCAGACCCAGCAGCATTTCTGAGAGTTTGTTGTGGCATCTCAGGCCCCACCCCTAACCTCTTGAATCCAGATCTGCATTTTAACAGGAGCCTCTGGTCATTAATTTCCATCTAAAGTTTGAGAAGCAAACTTTGCGTATAACCACTTGCTGGTTAAAGCCTGTTGTATCATCTTACTGAGACTGCACAATGTCTTGACTCCTTCCAGTGGTGTCATCTCCAGTTGTTTCTTCTTGTACTGGGATTGGTCTTTCTATAACAAACTTAATCATATTCATGTCCTGACTCCCATCTTCCTTGTTCTTTTTGTTGCTGGGACTTGACCCCTGTGCCCTAGTATCCTTCCATACTTTCCAGATAATCACGAGTTTTGGCTGGACCTTAGAGCACATATCAAGATTGTGAGGAGCCAGGAAACACCCAATAACTATGGCACTGAAACAGATATGACACCACGTAAATGATTTAAAAGCTCTGGAGGAACCCTGAAAGTTAAGTGTGAACTCTGACGCACAAATGCTTCAGTTAGGGGCTGGAGAGATGGCTCAGTGATTAAGAGCACTTGCTGCTCTTCAGAGGACCCAGGTTCAATTCCCAGCTGACAGCTCACAATAATGACTCCAGTTCAAGGGGATCTGTCACCCTCTTCTGGTCTCTGAAGGCACCACACACATATGGAATGTGGACAAAACACCCATACACATAAAATTATTGATTATAAAAACAAAACAAAACCAGAGTTCTAGCTCTGAAAAAAATTATGCTTCAGGATGGCAGAAATGGAAACATATCTTAAAAAATTTCTAGATATTTTTTGATCATTAAATGGGCTAGTATGTGGCTTTGAACATGATATTCAATAGCTACTGCTTTTTTTGTACCATGTGTAGTCCTCAAAAATCTTGCTTAGGATTCTGATTTCTACCCTATTAGTCTTCATTAATATCAAGTTGTTTCCTGCTCTAAATATTTTTCTTATATTTATTTTTTATGTGTATGGATGTTTTGTCTGCTTGTATGTCCGTGTACTACATTTGCGCCTGGTGCCCTTGGAGGTCGGAAAAGAGCATTAGATTCCTGGTACTGGACTTACAGATGGTTGTTAAATGGAAATCAGCCCTGGGTCCTTTGGAAGAGTGGCCAGTGCTCTAAAGAATTATGTAGTATTAACACATATATTAACATATATGCTTGTAAATTAGAAATCAGTGTTTATGTGGCATTTGGTTGATTCAACCTGTAGAAGATTTCCATGTATGTACGTTTGATTTTTCAGCTGTTAATATCAGAATTATGAGAACACTTTTTAAAACTCCTGATCTAGGACTGGAGAGATGGCTCAGCAGTTAAGAGCACGGACTGCTCTTCCAGAGGACGCAGGTTCAACTCCCAGCACTCACATGGCAGCTTACAACTGTCTGTAACCTCAGTCCTGGAGACCTGACACCTTCTCACCAATGCACATAAAATAAAATAAAATAAAATAAAATAAAATAAAATAAAATAAAAT